TGGATGCATTCCTAGAGACATAGAAACTACCAAGACTGAAAAAGTGGGAAATCTGAACACAGACTAGGTACTGATTTATCCTTCCTTTTCTTCAGATGATAACAGTATTGTGGTTATGATAAAAAAAAAATCTTCTAGAGAAATAGTATATAGAGAAAATGGCATGATATCTGGGATTTGTGGCTTAAAAATGTGGTGTGAGGGAATTATAAATAAAGCTGATCATGTGTTAAAAATTGATGAAGCTGGTTTGTGGGTACACTGAGGCTCATTTTTCTCTCCAGAGTCCCCTGCTGAAACTCTCATCCCTTCTGCTTCAATACGGACTATTTTCTCTCAAGGCCTGATGCACACCTGCTTCTTCAGAACTTCCTTTCACTATTAAATGAGGAATTCTATTCACCCCTTTTCTGTGTTCAATCTCATGTTCTCTGGATCCCACATCTTTCTCTTGATTTACTCTCACGTAATAGTAGAGCACAGCTTCAAATAAATTCCTAAGAAAGGAAGCAGATGTAAAATTTTTAGTGTAATAAATTGTATTTATTCTCAAAGCTAACTGAAAAATACAAATGGGCACAAAATTCTAGGTTGGAAATTATTTTCCTTCACAATGTATTCTATTGCCCTTAGGATTTCAGTGCTACTGTTGAGAAGTCTGAAACCATTCTTTCCCCCTAATCCTTCATTATGGTTTCTATGTAATAAGCTCTCTCTGTTTTTCCTCTCTTGGAAATAAAGTATTTTCCTTATAGTCTGGTCCTCTGAAATTTTACAATACGCCTTGGCATGGGTCTTTTTTCATTCACTATACAGAGTCTTTGTTGCACTTTCAGTTCACACCCACCAATGCTAGGCTATTTTCTGGTGAATTTCCTATCCTACATTTTCATTCATTTATTTATTTAGTAAGATTTTATTTATTTATTTGACAGAGATCACAAGTAGGCAGAGAGGCAGGCAGAGAAGAATGAGGGGGAAGCAGGCTCCTTGCTGAGCAGAGAGAGCCCGATGTGGGGCTTGATCCAAGGACCCTGGGATCATGACCTGAGCTGAAGGCAGAGGCTTTAACCCACTGAGCCACCCAGGTGCCCCTATCCTACATTTTCTTTGTTCTTTTTTCTTATATTCTAGGATCAATCCTGGATCAATCTGTTAGCTTAATTTTTTGGTCCTACTTGAGGAAAGAATTCTTGAGCTTACTTTCCCAATCTTTCCACTGTCTCTGTTTGCTTTTAGTTATCCTACATAAAAATTTTCAAGATTCCCTTATTCTTTGACTGATCCTTTAGTAATAGAGCATCATGTTCTTTTTTTTACAGATGGAGTATGTTCTCTTAGTCCTCTGAAGGTGTGGTAGAGATGGAGGGTTAAATTTCTTCGGCTACCTGTTTATTTTCCTCAAATTTCTTTCTTTCTTTCTTTCTTTCTTTCTTTCTTTTTTTTTAAGATTTTATTTATTTATTTGAGAGTGAGTGAGTGGGAGAGAAAGAGCATGAGCAGGGAGGGGGTAGAGGAAGAGGGAGAAGGAGACTCCTCACTGAGCAGGGAGCCTGAGTGGGACTCAATTCCACCTGCATCAAAGACAGACAATTAATCGACTGACCCACCCAGGCATCCCCCTACAAATTTCTTTTGTTGTCAGTCTTCCACACTGAATCCTTTCATCAAGTATCATTTTTTTACATTTATTTATTTGAGAGGGGGAGCAGAAGGCAGAGGGAGAAGCAGGCTCCCCACTGAGCAAGGAGCCTGATGCAGGATTAGATTCCACAACCATGGGATTGTGACCCGAATGAAGGCAGGCTTAACCACTGAGCCACCCCATCATCCAATATCTAATGATTCTTCCCTGGGAGAATTACCTGGTAATTCTTACATGCTGGAAGCCTTCATTAAATATCTGGAACTCCTTGATAACTATGTGGTAATCATTATTGTGAATGTGAAATGACTAACCATTCACATTCAAGGGTAAGGTACTAAAAACATTGATTAGAACTCACAGGCTTTCTCTAGAAAGATTGGGTGGGGAGTTTAATACCAGTTTTCTGTGGGTCTATTCTCTGGGGCCATTCAGTTCTTCTAGTAAAGGATCCTCTATCTTTTTTTTTTTTTTTTTAAGATTTTATTTTTATTTATTTGACAGAGAGAGACCACAAGTAGACAGAGGCAGGCAGAGAGAGAGAGAGAGAGAGAGAGAGAGAGAGAGGGAAGCAGGCTCCCTGCCGAGCAGAGAGCCTGATGCGGGACTCGATCCCAGGACCCTGAGATCATGACCTGAGCCGAAGGCAGCGGCTTAACCCACTGAGCCACCCAGGCGCCCTGGATCCTCTATCTTTTGCCTGGGTTAAAGAGTTACTAGCTTGGGTGCCTGGGTGGCTCAGTGGGTTAAAGCCTCTGCCTTCAGCTCAGGTCATGATCCCAGGGTTCTGGGATCGAGCCCCACATTGGGCTCTCTGAGAGCCTTCCTCCCTCTCTGCCTGCCTCTCTGCCTACCTGTGATCTCTGTCAAATAAATAATACCTTAAAAAAAAAAAAAAGAGTTACTAGCTTATTACAAAGGCTACCAAGGTTCTGGGAGCTGAGCAGGGAACTAAATTGAAGGTTTTACTATTCAGTATACAGACTTTGATGTAATTTGCATGTTTTCACCAAAGCAACTCACCCACATCCTCCACGGTGTCTAAGGATGGCTATGTCTGGAGATTTGTGTTTTAATTTCTTGAGAGAATAAACCTATCTCCAGTGGAGTTTTAAAGTGGAGGTATAGTTAGACAAACAGAAATGACCTAGCTTATGTGTAGAGGGACCATGGTATTAATTATCCATACACAATTTTTTTCCACCAACTCCAGTTTTTAGGCCTATACCTCATTATTATCATCAATGATCACAGGTGCTTCTCAATAACTAAGCAACTTTAGGATTCTGTGTGTCAAGCCAAAACTGCCTCTAGTTGGCATCTTTTACTATAAAATTTAAGCAGCCTTCATTTCTCATTTTCCATACTCTGGCATGGTATTAACGGGCATCTCCTAGTTTCAAGGATGGCATTTATATATCTTTTTTTTTTTAATTTTTTAAAAAGATTTTATTTATCTATTTGACAGAGAGGGAGATCACAAGTAGGCAGAGAGGCAGGCAGAGAGAGAAGAGGAAGCAGGCTCCCCAATGCAGGGCTCGATCCCAGGACCCTGAGATCATGACCCGAGCCGAAGGCAGAGGCTTTAACCCACTGAGCCACCCAGGCGCCCCTCAAGATAATTTATAATGGTGGGGGGAGTTTTGCCCTGCCATATCAAAAATCTTTAAGATATAATTATCACTTGGGCACCTGGGTGGCTGAGTTGGTTAAACATATGTGTCTAGCCCGGGTCACGATCCCAGAGTCCTGGAATCAAGTCCCTCATCAGGATCTCTGCTTAGCAAGGAGTCTGCTTCTCCCTTTCCCTCCTGCCCCTCATCCCTGCTCATACTGTCTCTCTCAAATAAATAAATACAATCTGAAAAAAAAAAATAAAAAGAACTAAGGAGAGAGAGTGTGAACAGCTGTGTCAGTGCGGGGAAGAGGGAGAGAATCCCAAGGCTATACACAACCCTGAGATAATGACCTGAGCCAAAATCAAGAGTCGGACACGTAACCAACTGAGACACTAAGGCGCACCTCTAACGTGTTCATTCTTTTTTTTTTTTTTTTTTTTATTTATTTGACAGAGAGAGATCACAAGTAGTAAGAGAGGCAGGCAGAGAGAGAGAGAGGAGGAAGCAGGCTCCCTGCTGAGCAGAGAGCCCGATGCGGGGCTCGATCCCAGGACCCTGAGATCATGACCTGAACCGAAGGCAGAGGCTTAACCCACTGAGCCCCCCAGGCGCCCTAACCTGTTCATTCTTAACTTCTGTCTCTCTCCACTTACTTTCTCAATGGAACGATAAATCATAACATTAGGGGCTATGGTTTTATCTTGGTAATGAATGAACTGTGTTTTGAGGAGCTGACAGAACTGACAGCTGACAAAACTCTGTGTTTTTGTGAGTAGCAGAGCTGTCATGCCAGCTTATCCACAGAACCCATCATTAGCACAGGGATTACTATTCATCTTCAAATCTAAATATGTTAGTATTTCTTCTGCAAGCACCCACAGGAGTGAGCTTCTCCAAACGATGCACAGAACTCACACCAAACTAAACAAGATGTTTGAGAAGGTAATTTTTCTTTGTGGCATACAGAAACTATTTTCTGTGTTCAAGGAACTGAAAAGCTGTATTTTTGTGTTTTGGGTTCACATTTCTTTAAATACGTATCACTTGAGAAGATACGTACTTGAGAAGAGTAGGGGTTGGAAAATGGAAAGTAGGGAGGAAAAAACTCCCAGCTTCAGAAGGATTCCCCACTATTCCTTTGCCTTCATCATTCAGAAAGGCTAAACTAAACTTTATAGCTCAACAAAGTTTCTAAGGCACCATCTTTCTCTCCAGTGAGGGTAGCGAGACAATGTTTTATTTCAAGACGGTTTCAGTCCAGGGAAATGCTACAGGACCACCACAACTGCTTAGTTTGAACAGAACTAAAATAATCTTACATACACTGCTGAGAGCGCAGCTGTAGTGGCTGGTTTTACACATTTCCTAAAGTGTAACTTTTAACAGCCCCAAACAAGAAAAGTCCCAGGACTACAAAAGTGCATCCTAACACTTTTAGTTACAGCAGAGATGTTACAGTATTACAGCCTGATGAGTTATTATAGCTTTATTTCAGATTACAGAAATGATCCTTAAAATCTTTATTGTCCTCAATAAGAGGTCTCCTCATTTCCCATTAACAAAAAGGTTGCAGTGGAGAAGATGCATTTTTTTTTTAAATTGGTCTATTTGTTGGCTTTTTTTAGAAGAATGATGCTCTTCTCTGAGAATTATCTATGGGAAGACAATTCTTATGCAAGTTATACAAACAAATAACTATTACAATATCATAGTGTATATATCAATCCTAGACTTACCCTCAGAAGAAGCTCTGCTAAGATACAGCCAACAGCCCACATGTCCACACCTACACCATACATTCTAGCTCCAAAGAGTAACTCAGGGGCCCGATACCACCTGAAGAACAAAAAGAAATGTAATTTTAAAGATGAGATCGGGAGGGAGACAAACCATAAGAGACTCTTAATCTCACAAAACAAACTGAGGGTTGCTGAGGGGAGGGCGGGGAGGGAGAGGGTGGTTGGGTTATGGACATTGGGGAGGGTATGTGCTATGGTGAGTGCTGTGAAGTGTGTAAACCTGACGATCCACAGACCTGTACCTGTGGAGCTAATAATACATTATATGTTAATAAAAAATTAAAAATTTTTAAAAAATGTAATTTAAAAATGCAATTATTAAAGTACTTCTGGGAGAAAACTCCTCAGCAAAACATCATCCCACTGATGAAATTCACTTTTATGTATTCCATTAACTCAAGAAAAACTGACTATAAAACCTAGCAGTTCCAGGACACCTGGGTGGCTCAGTTGGTTAAGCGTCTGCCTTCAGCTCAGGTAATGATCCCCAGGTCCTGGGATCGAGTCCCACATCAGGCTCCCAGCTCAGTGGGAAGCCTGGTTTTCCCTCTGCCTCTGTCTCTCTCTGTCTCTCATGAAGAAATAAAGAAAAAGTCTTAAAACAACAACAACAACAACAACAACAAAAAAAAAACAAGCAGTTCCATACTGGAAATGACACATGTCCTTGGTCCATATACTTTTCCTTTTTTTTTTTTTTTTTAAGATTTTATTTCTTTATTTGACAGAGGGAGAGATCACAAGTAGACAGAGAGGCAAGGTAGAGAGGGGGGGGGGAAGCAGGCTCCCTCTTGAGCAGAGAGCCCGATATGGGGCTTGATCCCAGAATCCTGGGATCATGATCCAAGCCGAAGGCAGAGGGTCTAACCCACTAAGCCACCCAGGTACCCCTACTTTTCCTTTTTTTTTTAAGAGATTTGGTTCTTTTTTTTTTTTTTTTAAGATTTCATTTATTTATTTGACAGATAAAGATCATAAGTAGGCAGAGAGGCAGGCAGGCAGAGAGAGAGGAGGAAGCAGGCTCCCTGCTGAGCAGAGAGCCCGATGTGGGGCTTGATCCCAGGACCCTGGGATCATGACCTGAGCTGAAGGCAGAGGCTTTAACCCACTGAGCCACCCAGGCGCCCCCAACTTTTCCATTCTTAAATGATTAATGCCTTCTCTCTTTCTGAAACTCTCAAAACCATCCTTCCTCTAAGCCATCTTACTTCCAACTTCACTGAAAAATATCCAAATAACGGGGAAAAAAAAAAAAAGAAAAAAGAAAAAACAATTCCATGGACTCACCTATAGTCTTTCGTATTCACACAATCTCACAATCTGCCTTTCCCAACTGTAACTTCAGATGAACTGTCCTGGACTGTTTTAATGCCAATATGTCAACTTGGGGCACCAGGTACCATGCTCTCTTGCCTATTTTCTAAGATACTGAAATTCTTTCTCCTACATCAATGTTTTCTTCTTCACTAGACTTTTCCCACTAGTGTTCGAACATACGATAATTTCTTCAGCCTTAAAAAATAAACTAAAAAACAAAGTAATAAACAAGAAAAACTTTAGGCCCAACTTCCTGTAACAGCTACCCCCACATTCTCTGGTTATTCTGAAATAACCAGAATAACCTCTTACTATCTGTTTTTACTATCTGCAGTTCCTATTTTCTTATCCCTTTTTTTTTTTTTTTTTAAGATTTTATCTATTCATTTGACAGAGAAATCACAAGCAGGCAGAGAGGTAGGCTGAGAGAGGGGGAAACAGGCTCCCTGCTGAGCAGAGAGCCCAATGCGGGGCTCGATCCCAGGACCCTGAGATCATGACCCAAGCCAAAGGCAGAGGCTTTAATCCACTGAGCCACCCAGGTGCCCCTTCTTATCCTTTTAAAAACTCCTTCAGGGGGTGCCTGGCTGGCTCAGTTGGTACAGCATATAGCTCTTGCTCTCAGGGTCCTGACTTCAAGCTCCAGGTTAGGCATACACAGAGCTTCCTTTAAAAAAAAAAAACACGGACGCCTGGGTGGCTCAGCTGGTTATATGTCTGCCTTCAGCTCAGGTCATGATTTCAGGGTCCTGGGACTGAGCCCCACATTGGGCTCCCCGCTCAGCAGGGAATCTGCATCATCCTCTCCCTTTGCCTCCTCCTCACTGTTTATGCTGTCTCTGTCGCTCTCTCAAATAAAATCTTAAGGGACGCCTGGGTGGCTCAGTTGGTTAAGCAGCTGCCTTTGGCTCAGGTCATGATCCCAGCGTCCTGGGATCGAGTCCCGCATCGGGCTCCTTGTTCATCGGGGAGCTTGCTTCTCCCTCTGCCTCTGCCTGCCATTCTGTCTGCCTGTGCTTGCTCTCTCTCCCTCTCTCTCTCTGACAAATAAATAAATAAAATCTTTAAAAAAACAAAAACAAAAACAAAAAAAAAACCAAAATCTTAAAACAAAACAAAACAAAAAACTAATCCTACACAATATAAACTTTCAATTTTTTTAAACCAGTTCTTACCTGGTTACAACCTGATGTGTATAAGCTCTATTGGGGCTCCCAAATGATTTGGCCAGGCCAAAATCTGCCAGTTTTAGAACTCCATTTTCATCTAATAACAAGTTGTTTGGTTTTAGATCCTGTATCATGGAGATTTTAAATAAACATGTCAGCAGGTGGTAGAGAATACCATAATGTTACATTTAGTTGGCTTAACTTTAAACTTGGCAAAAACAGGGTAAAACCTTAAATTTAAACAACAATCAGTACTTTTTTTCATTGACTTAAAATCTTACCAATGCTAAATAAGACTGGTTATATTACTTGGTGAGACCTTGGATCAAGACCTTGGGTCACTGAGCTTCAATTTACCTACCTCAGAGGGTTGCTGTGAGGATTAAATTTAGCGTTTTCTATAAAGAGGCTACTGCAATGACTAGGAACTCAATAAACAGTTCCTGCTATTTATTTAATAACAGTAATACATAGGAATTTCAGTAAATAAAAATATGATGCATTTAGAGAGGATGAGGAACAAATTCTTCAAAATATATACTAAAAAGATATTAGCAATAACCTAAAAGGGATTCTAAGGTAAAGGTATGAGAATTACTGACTACATGTATTCTTAGCTATTTATCTAAATAGAGTGCCTAAGAACATCCACCTATTGATATTATCAGCCTTGTTTCAAGAGCTGAACGTTTCTAACATTGACTCAACCATTTCAGACACTTTATTACTTCACAGAATTTTAGAGTTACTAAAAATATTTTTTCTAAAAATATTTTAGTGTTATAGAACTTAATCCAGACTCACTGTATTTTTTTCCCCTTGTCACAATAGTATAGGTATAGCACAAAGAGCACCGGACTTAAAGCCAAAACATGTAGATTTTAATATTCTGTCAGTTACTAGCTACTGACCTTGAAAAAATATATATAACCTTGGTCAGGTGATAGAGCAACTTAGCTTTTCACCTAAGAAAAAAATGAAGAACTGGGTCTATTTCTAAATTTTATGTAGCATTTTATGGTCTTCATGTCACCACCTGGTAGAAAAATTGAAGGGAACACCCAGAGGAAGATGGGAAAAAAATGGCCGGGCTCTATTTTTATTTTAAAATACACATATTTAGACCATTTATGTAATAACTGACTATATTAAACTTGACTAAAATATAAAGAATCAATCATATTGGTTAAAAACCTTACCCTATGTAGAATCCAATGCTGATGTAAATATTCTAACCCTTGAAGAGTCATCAACATGTAGGCTTTGATGTGTGATGGTGTCAACACAAGACTATTATCCTTTATTATAACCTGTAAACCCGGTGTATATATACAATTATTCCAAATAAATCACACCATATAAAATCACATACAGACATAAAATGAGTTTATCCATCATATAGGAGAATCTGAAGAAACACTGCCTAACTCTCCTTAGGAAGCACTGTGAGAATTTCCAGTTACGTGATTAGGGCAAGTATCTCTGCTGGTGCAATCTTTCCTACTTCTTTGTTTAAAAGGCATTAACACAGTGAACATTTGTTGTTTTGCTTGCCCCAGGATGTATAGCCCCTTCTGATAACAGCATTCAGCATTCCTTTGGGATATCACCTGGTTAAAATAGAACTGACCACTAACCAGTGTCCTCTAGAGGTAGATACATGACCCATGCATAGCCAACCACCACAATGAAGCCTGCTGTCCAAAAGACTGGTTTAGGGATGGACATGTGATCTAAGACAAGCTAATCCAACAGGCCAACTACTTCTGTTAGAAACTAAGGGAACAAAGCACCTTCCTTCCTAACAGATTATTAAACTCTTAAGGATATAAACTTGAGGTGCCTAAGTCACTACTCTGAGAAATTAAGCCCATGAAGAAAGGCCACAAAGAAGAAAACAGAGTCGAGCTAAAGTGCAAGACTGAGTTTTCCATGGCGTTATTTGAGAACTGTGCTTAAAGCCAGTTTATTCCTACATTTGTAAGTTATATTAGCTAAAAGTTCCCATTTTCTTTTTTTAGAAATCAGATTTAGATAAAAGGTATCCTGGGCTGCCTGGGTGGCTCAGATGGCAGGCGGCTCAGGTCATGACCCCAGGATTCTAGGATCGAGTCCTGCATCAGGCTCCCTGCTTTGCAGAGAGCCTGCTTCTCCCTCACCCTTTGCCTGCTGCTCTGCCCCACCCTGCTTGTGTCTTCTCTCTCTCTGTCAAATAAATAAAATCTTTAAAAAAAAAAAAGGTATCCAAATTGGCAAGAAGTAAAACTTACACTATTTACAGATGACATACTATATATAGAAAACCCTAAATATTCCACCAAAAAACTATTATAACTGATCACTGAATTCAGTAAAGTTGCAAGATCCAAAATCAAAATACAGAAATCTGTAGCATTTTTATATACTAATAATGAAGTAACAGTAAGAGAAGTTAAGAGAATAATTCCATTTACAAAAAAGAAAAGAAAAAAGAAAGAAAAAAAAGAAGTCAGAGTTAGGCAAAATACGCCCTTTTCAGTGCATAGTTCCATGTGTTTAACAAAGACATCCAGTTATGTAACCACTACCAAAATCAAGATAAAGTTCTTTAACTCCCACCCCCACCCTAATCGCCTCAGGCCCTTCTATACCTAATACTTTCCTCTATTCCCAACCCTGGCCACCACTGACCTGATCTGTTTCTTTAGTTTTGCCTTTTCCAGAATATCATATAAGTGGAATTACGCAATATATAGCATTTTGAACTTGAGTTCTTTCATTTAGCATAATACATCTGAGATTCCTCTATACTTTATACGTATGAACAGTTCATTACTTTTTATCCCCAAATAGCATTCCATTCTACAGCTATATCACAGTTTGTTTATATATTCACTAGAAAAGGTATTTGGATTGTTTCCAGTTTCGGCAATAATGAATAAAGCTGGATATCTGTGTACCAAATGATTTCTGTGTAGACATATTTTGGTGTCTCTTACACAAATATCTAGCAGTGGTATTGCCAGATCATTCTTTATTTTTTTTATATTCTTTTTTATTTTTTTTTTAAGATTTTATTTATTTGACAGACAGAGATCACAAATAGGCAGAGAGGCAGGCAGAGAGAGAGGAGGAAGCAGGCTTCCCACTGAGCAGAGAGCCCGATGCGGGGCTCGATCCCAGGACCCTGAGATCATGACCTGAGCCTAAGGCAGAGGCTTTAACCCACTGAGCCACCCAGGCGCCACCCCCCCTTTTTTTTTTAAAGATTTTATTTATTTGTCAGAGAGAGTGGGAGAGAGAGCGAGCGCAGGCAGACAGAATGGCAGGCAGAGGGAGAAGCAGGCTCCCTGATGAGCAAGGAGACCGATGCGGGACTCAATCCCAGGACGCTGGGATCATGACCTGAGCAGAAGGCAGCTGCTTAACCAACTGAGCCACCCAGCCGTCCTGCCAGATCATTCTTTAGCTGTGTATTTAACTGTTTTTTGTATTCTCACCAGCAGTGTATGAGAATTTTAGTTGTTCAACATCCCTGGATTGTCAGCTTTTTGTTTTTTTTTTTTTCAAAGATCTTATTTATTTATTTGACAGAAAGAGAAATCATAAGGAGGCAGAGAGGCAGGCAGAGAGAGAGGGGGAAGAAGGCTCCCTGCTGAGCAGAGCCCAATGCGGGGCTCCATCCCAGGACCCTGAGACCATGACCTGAATTGAAGGCAGAGGCTTCACCCACTGAGCCACCCAGGCGTCCCTGGATTGTTAGTTTCTGAGATTCAGTTAGTATTAAGGAAAAGCTCAAGATCTTATATTCTCAAAAGTAAAATAAAAAACTTGGGTTTCAAAAGGAGGATATTCTGTGATAATATGGAAAAGGAACTCTAAATTCTCAAAGGCCTAATATTAATTTCTCTAAAAGTAATGTCAATAAGGTATAGGGAACTTGGTAGACAGAAATGCTCTGAAATCCAAATCTCTGTATGTAACACTGGGAATATGGCTAATGACTCAGAAGAAAAAAGGAAATAAATAAGGTTCTCTTCTGATAAAAAGAGAAAAGAAAGTCCTCTAGGAATCTTAATCTTACCTCTAGATCAGTTTCCATAAAATCAAAGACAAGACTAATATTAGATTTATGTCCAAAAGCATCAAGGAGCTGCAAAGCAAAATTAAAAAATAAATAAGTAAATAAAAATGTGATTTTCCATATAATATTTGAAAAGATTATACCAACTAAAGTAATTCTTAAAATTTAAACAAGTATCTGGACTGCTGACAATTCCCAACTAAATCTGTCTTATTAAATTTGACATTTATCATTTATATTGCTAGGAATTAGTAATTTGAGACACAAAAATACTAAACTTTGTATTTTTTAAAAGATCTTATTTATTTGAGAGAGAGAGAGAGAGAGCATGCACAAGCAGGGGGAAGGGCGGAGGGAGAGAGAGAAGCTGACTCCTCGCTGAGCCAGGAGCCTAATGCTGGGCTCAATCCCAGGACTCAAAGATCATGACCTTAGCCAAAGTCAGACACCTAACCAACTGAGCAAGTAGTTGTGCCTAAACCTTAGTATTTTTAAAAAGTCACTAAATACTTAAGCTTTCCGTGCTCAGTATTTAAGAAAATCCTATAAACAGAAGTGGTAGCTATCATTCCTTATATGCACCCTCTATGCCAGGCTCTATTTCCAGGTACTTCACATGCATTCAGTCAATGAACTAGTCTTACTACAACTCTCGGAGGTGGAGTTATGGCACCGAGTTATAGGGGAGCTTACTCAAGGTCTTATATATGCTAGGGCTCTCGAGGCTTCAAAATGATTTTTCACAAAATTAGGCCATATGCCCATATTAAACTTATTCCATCAGTTGTAGAGTTTTAAAGACAATGCCTAGAGATGCCTGGGTGGCTCAGTTAAGTGTCTGCCTTTGGATCCTGGAATGGAGTTCCCGGCTTAGCGGGGAGTGTGCTTCTCCCTCTGCCCTCTGCCCCCCGCCCCTCGTTTGTGCTCATGCTTTGAGTTTGGCGCGCTCTCTCTCTCTCTCATGCTGTCAAAATAAAGAAATAAAATCTTAGGGGCGCCTGGGTGGCTCAGTGGGTTAAAGCCTCTGCCTTCAGCTCAGGTCATGATCCCAGGGTCCTGGGATCGAGCCCCACATTGGGCTCTCTGCTCAGCGGGAAGCCTGCTTCCTCCTCTCTCTCTGCCTGCCTCTCTGCCTACTTGTGATCTCTGTCAAATAAATAAATAAAATTTAAAAAAAAAGGAAAAAGAAAAAAAAAGAAAATCTTAAAATTTTTTTAAAAACAAAGACACTGCCTATAGAATCAATTAGAACAGAAAATATCTATCAGCCTGATAAATTTTTAAGCTTTTTTACAAGGTTCACCTAAAGCAATTCATCTTGCTGAGCCTTCAATCAACAACTACCACATTCAGAAATGACAGGGTCCCAAATCCCAGAAACAATTTAGATCATACTCACACCAATTATATTTGGATGACTTAGCTCCTGTAATAATTTTATTTCTCTTAAGGCTGTTCTATTTATACCTATATGAAAAGGCAAAGCAAAATGTGAAAAATAACTCTGACATCTCAAATCTTAAAAACATATTTTTTGGGATAGGTTAGTCTTTCAGGAAATAGCAGTGAATATCCTACAGAAAAATAAGGGCCATTTTGACAGTTTTTTTGACATCTGATTTTATTTTATATTACTTTATTTTTAAAATAGCTTAAAATCACTATGATAAATGGTGAAAAAAGTATTCACTTTGTAGCATATCCCTTGAGAAGACTGCTGGAATAACAATGTGACAGTGTGTAACATTAAAGCAATAAATAAGTCAACAGCTTCCTCTTTCTTGCATTATGAATATTAGGAACAGATTCTTGATGCTAACAGCAAAATAGTGGTAAGACTATTATCATTCCCAATACAAAGGACAGAACTCAAAATTAAAAATAAGATCTGGTACTATCTGTTAAATAGAAGATGGGTCCTTTTTATAAAAACTAGTTCTTGATGACTAAATAAGACTTAACATGTTAGCACACAAAGCTATGGAGGAAAGGTAAAAACATGTTTTCTTCCATTCATCTATCTCAGTGTGAGCTTTCCATACTTCCATGAGGTTGTATCCTGAATTTTCAAAGTGATCAGTTCAGAGGAAAAAAAAAAAGTGCTTGCAACAATACCTTAAAGAATGATGAAGACAGCAAGACAAGCAAGCCACTGATAACCTTGTTGCCTTACATTTACTCAGATGACTTGGTTATATGACTCTTAATATCCAAATGGTGGATATCACAAACATCCTGTCTCTATCCTGATTCTCTATGCTGAGTTTACTCTTCTAGCACCCTGCAATAACCCTATCTAAACCACTCAAAACTGATACGTTGCTAACTTCCTTAGTGAGAATAAAACCTTGTCCTATTCTGTCAGATTATATTGAGTACTCACCATCTTTAGCTTCTGATCTATGTCCAAGTTTAATCTGGTAGGGGGGGAAAAACCCAAACACATTAAAAATGTGTTATTTAGACTTAGTGCATAACATATAAACACTTCAGAAACTTAGCCACAACAAAAATATGTAGCAACTTATATGTGGCCAGTAAGCAGGAAGCAAGTGGGAAATCATGAATCTGAAAGGCAAAATTAACAATATAAGAAAGGACCAAGTACCTATCATGCCTTGCCCCTTAAGTTTTTGAGTTACATTCAAGTAATGGAATTAAGAAAATAAATGTCTCCTTTATCTCTGCAAGATTAAATGTGGAAAAGTTACTGAGGGCATACTGACTAATAAACAAGAACAACAAAAATCACTTCAAGTTGGCCTACTTGGGAGGAAATATATGACATACAAACATAAAATAACATGTTTAATATGTCCAATAACATGTTCTTAGGGAACACATTTTCCCAAGAAGAAAATTTCCCAAGAAGAAAAATTACAAATTATGATGGATACAAAAAAATGGTTAAACTGTTGTTACCATTAATACACATAACAAAACAAAAAAAGCAAAAAAAATTGCATTAATAGGTTTAGGCTTACACCAGTCTCTTACTCACTGCTTTATACAATGACTACATGTAATTAAAAAAAAAAAAAAAAAGCCCAAAACAATTACTTCTGGAAAAACACAGCTATTCTACCTTTAAAAATATCCCCCAGCTAAATGCAAAATGGTGCACCCACTGTGGAAAACAGTATGGAGGTTCCTCAAAAACTAAAAATATAATTACCATATGATTCAGTAATTCCCCTACTGGGCATTTACCCAAAGAATACAAAAACACTAATTCAAAAGCTATATGCACCTCTATGTTTACTGCAGCATTATTAACAAAAGCAAACAGAATATTAAAATAGAGTATTAGCCACAAAAAAGAACGAAATCTTGCCATTTGCGACAACATGGATGGATCTAGAGGGTATAACATTAAGTGAAATAAGAGAAAGACAATACCCTATGATTTCATTCATATGTGGAAATTAAGAAACGAAACAAACTAACAAAGAAGAAAGAGACAACCAAGAAACCATTAACTAGAGAGAACAGGTGGCTATCAGAGGGGAGGTGGGGGGAGGTTGGGGGAAATAGCTGAAGAGGATTAAGACTACACATCATGATGAGCACTAATATATAGACTTGCTGAATTACTTTATTGTACACCTGAAACCAATGTAACACATCATGTTACGTATGCTAGAAATAAAATTTAAAAAATTAAGATTCTTGGTAATGATAAAAATAGATTAAAAGATGTAAATGTATAAATATATATATCTTCCAACTGTATACTACAAACACAACTATTTACTTAAAGGTAAACTACTATAGCACTAAAAAATATAGGGCACTCAGCAATAAATCTAACAAAAGATGTGCAAAGCTTTCCAAAACTACGTAATAAAATGATATAAAAACATGCTTAAAATGAGACCAAAATAAACACTCATGGATAGCAAGACTCAGTAATCATATATACGTCAATTTTCTTTAAGTTCAGTGCAATCAAATCTAAAGCTCAACAGCATTTTTTAAAGAACACTGACAAACTGATTCTAAACTTTACATGGAAAAGGATCTAAGAACAATTTAAAAAATTTTTACATTTTGTAAACACAATAAAAACACATTGGTTTCAGGAAGCCATCTACTTCATTACCCAGATTAAACAACTATCAATATTTTACCCCACTTACTTCATTATTCATCCTCCCCTTTCTGCTGAATAAAATGTTTTATAACAAACCTCAGATTTCATGTCATTTCATCCCCATGTACTTAAGTAGGCATCTCTAAAACATGGACATTTTCTTACATATTCAATATGCCATCCTCATACTTTTTTTTTAAGATTTTATTTATTTGACACAGAGAAAGAGATCACAAGTAGGCAGAGAGGCAAGCAGAGGGGGAGGGGGAAGCAGGCTCCCCGCTGAGCAGAGAGCCCGATGCGGGGCTCGATCCCAGGACCCTGAGATCATGACCTGAGCTGAAGGCAGAGGCTTAACCCACTGAGCCACCCAGGCGCCCACACTTTTTTTTTTTAATTGTTTTTTTTTTTAATTTAAATTTATTTGTGAGAGAGACAGTGAGAGATAGCATGAGAGGGGAGAAGCAGACTCCCTGTGGAGCTGAGAGACCCATGCGGGACTCGATGCCGGGACTCCAGGATCATGACCTGAGCCGAAGGCAGTTGCTTAACCAACTGAGCCACCCAGGTGCCCTGCAATTTTCATACTTAACAAGATTAATAATAATGCCATAGCAGTATGTAATACCTAGTTCATATAGAATTCTCTTGATTGTTTGAAATTTCCCAAGTGGCAGATAAAGTAGCCAAGATAATTTTGAAGAAAAACAGGTATGTTTAACTTATCAGATTTCAAGGGTTTTGAAAGACAGTAGTAATTAAATACACTATAGCATCTGAGCAGGGATGGAAAAAAAAAATCAACCAATGGAAAAAAAAAAAAATAGTGTGCCCTGAAATGGATCCAAGTATACACTGGAACTCAGATTACAACTGAAGGCAAAACTTGGCATTACAACCCACCAGGAAAAGGACAGACGATCTGTAATGCTGGGATGGCAAGGAAAAAAATACCGGATCACCCTATTACACAAAACAGAAAAATTAATTCCAGATAAAATAAAGACCTAAATGTGAACAGCAACGCTTTAAAATTTTTAGAAAATAGAACCCTTAATAACCTGGAGGTAGGCAAGCAGATAAAAAGGAAACCCATAAAGAAAAAAAAAAGGATAAACTCAACCAGAACACAACTATAAATTTCTGTGCCCCAGAAGACACCATATATAAACAAAGTCTAGCCAAAGACTAGGAGAGGACACCTGCACTGTAAATTTCTGACAAAGGATTAATGTTCAGAATATAATAAAGAATTCCACTAATCCATAGAAAGAAAAAAATTTAAGCACCCTAACAGGAAAACATAGAAAAAAAGTCTAAAAAGCCAATAAATCTAAGAAAAGATGATCAATCTAACTGGTATTCAGAGGAATATTAATTGAAACAATCATATACCAATTTTGATCCAGGTAATTGAAAAATGTTGTAAAATCTGACAATACAAACATGGTAAGAATGTGGAGGGAGGTTAAACTGGTCCAACCACTTTGAAGAGCAATCTGACAATATGTGGTGAGGGTGATGCTGTATATGCCGTAAAACAGCAACAATTCACAGATGGTTTCAAATATGGATATATTCTCTAAAGAAACTGACATGAATAGGCATCTCTGTAGGACTATATTAAGGGAAAACATAAAAAATAACAACAAGGGACGCCTGGGTGGCTCAGTTGGTTAAGCAGCTGCCTTCGGCTCAGGTCATGATCCCAGCGTCCTGGGATCGAGTCCCACATCGGGCTCCTTGCTCATCAGGGAGCCTGCTTCTCCCTTTGCCTCTGCCTGCCATTCTGTCTGCCTGTGCTTGCTCTCTCTCCCTCTCTCTCTGACAAATAAATAAAATCTTTAAAAAAAAAAAAAAATAACAACAAAATAGCCTAAGTGTACATCAACAAGATTTTGACAGGCAAATTTAAGTGTAATTATATGATGGAATCTAATCACCAATGATCAGAACTAAACCGTATCTACATGTATCCATGTAGAAGATTTCAGCAATAATGCTGATTCAGGGGGCGCCTGGGTGGCTCAGTGGATTGAACCTCTGCCTTCGGCTCTGGTCATGATCTCAGGGTCCTGGGATGGAGCCCCATGACAGGCTCTCTGCTCAGCGGGGAGCATGCTTCCCCCTTCTCTGCCTGCTGCTCTGCTTACTTGTGATCTCTCTGTCAAATAAATAAATAAAAAAATTTTTTTTAAAGATTTTTATTTATTTATTTGACAGATCACAAGTAGGCAGAGAGGCAGGCAGAGGGAGAGAGGAGGAAGCAGGCTTCCCACTGAGCAGAGAGCCCGATGCGGGGCTGGATCCCAGGACCCTGGGATCACGACCTGAGCCGTAGGCAGAGGCTTTAACCCACTGAGCCACCCAGGCGCCCCTAAATAAATAAAATCTTAAAAAAAAATAATATTGAGGGGCACCTGGGTGGCTCAGTGGGTTAAAGCCTCTGCCTTAGGCTCACATCAGGATCCCGGGGTGGTGGGATGGAGCCCCGCATCAGGCTCTCTGCTCAGCGGGGACCCTGCTTCCTCCTCTCTCTCTGTCTACTTGTGATCTCTCTCTGTCAAATAAATAAATAAATAAAATCTTTAAAAAAAATTAAAAATAAAAAAATTAATGTTGATTCAGAAAGACAAACTGTAAAAGAATATTTACATATTGGGGGTGGATGGGCAGCCAACCAAGCATTGAGAGAAATAATCTCGAAGGCCACCAATAGAGGATTGGTTAAATAAATGGGGAATCATAAATTGAGTATGATCTTTTTAAAAAAGATGAGGTAGACATCAATGATAATTTATTTTTTATAAATTTCAAAAGAAATGAAATGATCCACTTACCTCTAAACATACTTTTTTTTAAATTTTAAATATTTTATTTATTTGACAAAGAGAGATCACTAGTAGGCTGAGCAGCAGGCAGAGAGAGAGGGGGAAGCAGGCTCTCTACTGAGCAGGGAGCCAGATGTAAGGCTTGATCCCAGGACCCTGAGACAATGACCCAAGTGGAAGGCAGACGCTTAACCCACTGAGCCACCCAAGCACCCTATCCCTCTAAACACAGTTTAAAATTCCAGATACAATAGGTGAAAAAATATAGAAAATTTATTTTTTGTAAAATTAAACGTGTTAGTAAATAAACAAGTGTAAAACTTTATAGCAGAAAGACTAGATAATGTCTAAAATGAGGCTTCAAAGGAGTTAGGAATTTTGAAGGAGAAAACAAATTCAAATAGCAACAGGAACAATAAGGAGGTAAGGACACGTGGGTGGCTCACTAGGTTAAGCGTCTGCCTTCAATTCAGGTCGTTATCCCAGGGTCCTAGAATGGATCCCCAAGTGGGGCTCCCTGCTCCTGGAGGAGCCTGCTTCCCCCGCTGCATGCTGCTTCCCTGTGTGCGCTCTCTGTCCCCCCTTTCTCTGACAAATAAATAAAGAAATAAAATCTTTTATAAATAAATAAATAAATAAATAAATAAAAGGAGGAGGTGGAGGTCACCTACCCCACCAAGAGACCTTGAGGTACGACAAAAACCTCTGAGAGGACTGCTGACTTCAGTAGCACAGGAAAGAACAAGCAACCTGGTAGCGAAACACCTGGATTTAAATGCTAGTTTTAGCCATTAGTATCTGTGTCATTTTGACAATTACTCAATCTCTCTTAGTCTCAGGTATCTCAAGTGTAAAATAAGGATATTCTCCCTACTTCATATGCCTATATGGAGGGCTAAATGAAAAGAAAGTAAATGAAGATGCCTGACTTGTAAAAAATTAGCTACATACGACCCTAGTTTCGTGAATGAATGCAAGTAAAAAAGTTACTAAATTCATTTTTTTTTTTTAAGGCACATCGATGTTAATGCTCATGAAAGCCTTTCAAGGGAAATCTGTACACAGAAAATGCAGAGGATACACATGACGAACGCAGGTGTGGCAGAAACCGTGACCTGGGAAGATCACGGCACTAAACCAGCATCTGAGGAACCAGCAGATGGGTACTTGCTCCCCTTGCCTACGTCTGAAGTTATAAAGCAAACATAATATACAGCTTCCTCTTCATTTCCATTCTAATTAATGGAACAACAAAACTAATTCAACTCGAGTTCCATCCTAGAACACAAGACATTAATAAACTCCGTTTTCTCTGAAAATGACATAAATATCTCATTAGCAGAGCACGGTCAAGAGTCGTACAAAGCCCAGGCATCAGCTCCTACATACAGATATCTTCAGAGATGAAGGAAAAATAACAGACAGTAACTCACTTTCTTAATGGCGACAATTTGGTTGGTGTTCTTGTCTCTGGCCTTGTAAACCGTGGCAAACTAGAGAGAAAAACAGAAATAATCTAAGTTTGTGGGAGCTTTTTTGTGTTTGCCTTTTTACTTCTTCAGATCTGGAGAAGCAAAGACCTCGGGGTTCTTGGAGCGGATTCGCGGCGGCGTGGAACGTGGTGAGGCAGGCCACTTCCCGTTCCAGTCTATCCTTCAGAAAGGACAGAGCCGCTTAGGGGCTCCCCTCCAGGGTACACACAGGGGCAGCAGGTGCGTCTGGGCAGTCTCGTCCAAAAAAGGAGTAGCCAGGTCAGTCCTCTCAACCCCACCAGAAAATCCGTGAGGGTGTGAGGCGGCCTGGCGTTCTCCGTTCAGAGCCCTGCGAATCCCATCCGAGAGCCTCACCTGTCCCTCCCCGAGGAAGTCCAGTTTCTCATAACGCTTTGCTCGCGACTTCACGTCCACCGCCATTCGTCGCACGAAACTCAGCTCCAACTGAAAGGGGCAAGCTTCCGCGACACCAGGAATTTAAAGCTACCTAAATACCTCCAACAGCCACTTCCGTTGAGTGAGAGCCGGCGCTTTATTAGCTCCGCCCCACTTCCGGTTTGGGCTTGGGTGCTGCCGAGTAAGTCCGGCTAGAGCCCGCCCTACGGAAGCTGCGCGGGGCGGAGTTCGTTGGTTTTCCTGCGCCGTCCCCGCCCTGTCACGCGGTAGTCTGTTGGTGCCGGAAGCGGTGTGTGTTAGCGGTTGACTATGTCACCCTGTTACCGTTTTAACATAGATATTCCCTTCAGTACGGGGGACAGGTCAGCGTTCTGATATAATGTTCTGAGTTCGGGATTTAATAGGTGTGTATGAGTGTGGAAGACTTGACCTAATCCCTGATCTCGCTGTCTGGTTCTTGCTCAAGGGCGTCCGTCGCGATGGTTGCTATGGACGCTCAGCGTCGCAATCGCCGGTTACTTAGAACTGAGAGCCCAGTTCTTCAGGGCTGGTCAAAACGCTTTCTCATTTCAGTCCTTTGTGGAGGACTCCCCGGGAAACAAAATCCAAGTCAACTGAAGAATTCCGTGCCGTGGAACAGAATTCTGGCCGTCAGTTTTCTACTCTATAAAATGGTAATAATAAGCTACATCCTAACTGGTTGTGACGACTAAAAAAAACACCCAGAAAGTTAAGACATTGTAAGTGCTCAATTAAGTGTTAATTTTGAGCAGTACTCAACTTTGATTCTCATAAGTTTTCATGCATATTAACACGTTACACACATAACTCACTGAATTATCGAATGTATATTGAGCACTTACTATGTGCCGGGCTCTGTTGCAGACTGAGAAATCGGCAGGGAAAAAGACAAAGATCCATGCTTTCCAACGGAAAGAGCAAAAAGAGCAAAAAAAGGAAGGTCAGTGAAAGAATTGTTGCAGTTATCCAGATAGCTATGTAAGATTTGGCTTCTAGCCAATAGGATTTGCTGACAGACTGCATATGGGTTGTGGAGGAAAAAACTGGTAATTCTAAGGTTTTGAGCTGAAGCATTTCATGTTTCTAAGAGATAACAATATTCATTTGCGATGAAGAAGGCAGCACAATACTAAGGTTCATAGTTTAGTCAAGGTAATACAGAGTAAAGATTGAATTCTTGCTCTAGATCTAGACTACTTGCTTTTGAATACTAGCCTCACAAGTATTCAGTCACTAGATTTATTACTTGGGCAAAATATTTAACGTTTTTATTCCTAGTTTCCTCATTTGTAATAGGACTACTCATTGGGTCGCTGCAAGGCTGAAATGTTTTACATTTCCAAAACCCTTAGAAAACTGTCTGACAGTTCTGTTCCTTAGCTATCACATAACTATTACTGGTCACCTTCAAGCTCTTTGTCACTGGGTTTTTATTGAGTTCTGTTACATTCGTAGGCAAAATTCTCATACATTACACAAAACGCCATCCTTTTACCATTTATCTCTTGCATCAAGATATACCTAATGAGGGACGCCTGGGTGGCTCAGTGGGTTAAGCCGCTGCCTTCGGCTCGGGTCATGATCCCAGCGTCCTGGGATCGAGTCCCACATCGGGCTCCTTGCTCAGCGGGGAACCTGCTTCTCCCTCTGCCTCTGCCTGCCACTCTATCTGCTTGTGCTCACTCTCGCTCTCTCTCTGATAAATAAATAAAATCTTTAAAAAAAAAAAAAAGATATACCTAATGACACATGGTATCATAGAACTCAGTTCGAAGTTGCTTCCAAAAGTTATCACTTTAACAGTAAACTAACTTGTAGCAGGCATAAGCTAAATAGTGAGCTAAATGTCATGGTACACTTGTGAGGCTAGAAGTTCTAAAGTATATCATGGCATATTAATTGATAATCACTGCATTATACTATGCTGCTAAGTAAATTCCTATGTGGGGACATTTTAAGTACGGTAAAAAAGGCAGTTATTTAGGTAAAAGTCTTGGTTCAGTAGGTCACTGTATGTATAAAATGCCATTCAGCATCTGTAAAGCATTATCCAGTTTACAAAGCACTTGCAGGTATTAGCAACAGCTAGCTTTCAAGATGGCCCCAGTGAAATCTTTCCTTCTGGTATCAATGAACTTATGTAGTTTATTCCCACAGTGAAACAGACTGTTCTGTGTGACCTGTAGAATAAGTCAGAATTGAGTTCATCTAACTTTTAAGTAGATCATAAAAGGCATTGCTTCTTCTGCCTTGCATGCTTAGATCATGAACGCTGGGTGAAGTCAGGCTTCATATAAGAGTTCAATCAGGTAGCCCTGTGAAGAGGTCTACATGGGGAAGAACTGGGACCTCCGGCCAACAGCCATCATCAACTTGGCAGTCATATGAGTGAGTCACCCTGGAGGTAAATCATCTAGCTCCAGTCAAGCCTTCAATAATTGCCACCCAGCCTGAAAGACATGGAGAGCTGTCCAGCCAAACTGCTCCAGAAATCCATACCCAGAGAAAAAAAATGACATGTTAAGTGATTATTGTTTTTAGCAACATTTTGAGTTTTGAGTCATTAAGTTTTGGTTTGCTACAAAGTAATACACCATAGGGACACCGGGATGGTTCAGTCAGTTAAGTGTTTGCCTTCAGCTCAGGACATGATCCTAGGATCCTGGGATCCAGAGCCACATCAGTCTCCTTCCTCAGTGGGAAGCCTGCTTCTCCCTCTGCCTCTGCCTGCCACTCCCCTGCTTGTGCTCTGACAAATAAAAGTGGGAAAAAAAAGTAATACACAATGCACTAATGGATCCTATCATATTGTATAGCATTAGGGAGGAAATCTGAAGCTTGAACAAATTCAGCAATTTGTGGATGGTTATATATATTTATGTGCTCATCTCCTAAATGAAAATACAGGCTATTTATTTAAAGCTAAGCCAGAATTCTATACCATCCTCTTTGGGAGCTCACCCTATGACACCAATTCCCACTGAACATAACTTTTTGCCATACTTGTGCTCATAAATTCTGTAAAAGTGATAAATTTTTTCCATTGTGACATTCATGGCTGGAGCTATAGTAAAGATGGCCTTCAAACAGTTCTAGTATGGGGCTTCTGACTGCTGGCCCACAGAATCACAGAAATCACTCTTCATGATCTGAACCAACTCTGTTTCGGAAAGCAAAAAAAATGACCTTGGTTTCCTGTAACTGAAATGTAAAAATTAAGGGAAAAAAAGAGAATAGGGCTAACTTTAAAGAATATTTTCGAAGTAAGTTTTTAAATGATAACAGAAAAATCATCAATCACATTGTTTTTCTGAGTCACCAGAACAGCTTATTTCTGGTACCAAACACCTATCTCATATTCAACTTGGGCAACATTTATACTGGTCACAACAGAGAACTCATAGGAGAAGCAGATAAACTATGGAATAGCAAAAAGACAAAACAAGAACAAAAAAAATAACAAAACAAACAAAAAAACCAAAGCTTAGTCTACAGGCAAATGAGCAAAACTCAACAACAATTTGACTCTAATACCCATGAGCTACCCTTACTATTAGGAATGACTTCCTTAAAGCATATTCTAGAAATCATTCAAGGTATGGAAGAAAATTTATTTAGCTTTGTGAGGCTTTACTTTCACAATAATACATGCCCTTGGCACTCTAAGACCCTATTAAAGTTTCATAAATTGCCTTAGTAAGGCAAATATTTAGGTTGATTTTACGAAACTTTCAGACATTTAAGTTTGAGAAAGTTAGTGGTTTTCAGAATTTGCACACAGGATGACAAAACAGTAAAAGAAATCAAAGAATGAGACTTTCTTAACAGCCCTAATAATATAGTAAGTTGCAATGTCTAATCAAACATCTATTCCTAGGTTTATATTTATTTTGATCCCATATTTTCCATTTTAAACTCTGGCACTTTCTTCTGAATATTGGTTACAAATAATCTTTTGTCTTAACTCCCAGTTTTAATACCACAAAGTCACCTGTTTTACCTTGACTATATTTTTATTACTTAGTGTAGGATATGCTTTTTAAACTAGTTATACTCCAGTAACTCTGTGAATGAAAAAATGTTAAGAAAACTAAGAACAAATAATGGAGTCATTCTTTCATTGATCCTCATCCAATTTCAGGAAAATCACTTCCCCAAGCAGCAATTCTCTCTGATAAAAACCTGTGATAGTTTACTAGATACTGTGTACTTTTAATAGCTCCAACACTGGAAATACTTGATAATTGAGAGTAAATTAATAGGCTAACATTTAAAAATGTATACTTTAATAAGCATATAAACAATTAGGTAAGCTTTTGCAGAAGCTGACCAAGATACATATATTAGAAGATACAACTGTCCATCTAAATTTTCTATATATCATTTTTTTTCTTTTTGGAGAGTATTCAAGTTGTTTGCTATATAATTTCTCATGTGCCATTTTGGATTTTTGGACAGTCTTTATTGTAAAGACTATTTTTTTGTCTGATGATGAATAGCAGCCACACTGTCAGTGATTATTCCGGACCTCCACGCTGAAAAGGAAAAAACAAAGCAAAAAATTAGGTGTTAAATTTACAGAAGAAATGTTTTCATGGTCACTATACAAATTTACACCATTTTAAGCAAATGACCTTTAGGGTTTAAAAAAACAATTTCAATTTTTCATTTCTCTTAGGCACTCCTATCAATGTTATAAACAATTTCTGATCTGGAGAGGACTCAAGGTTGACCCTGACTGGTGGGCCTCAAATTTCTTGGTCTCAGCAGCCCTTCACACTGAAAAATTACCAAGGACTCTACTGAGCTTCTTTCATGTGTTATGGTTATTACTACTTCCCATATTATACTTCCACACATATATCCCTTCATGTACCTCTACTGAGGGCTTGTACATGGTTTACTTCTCATAGTCCGGGCCTGACTATCTTGGTCTTAGCTATTGACCCACCATGACAAGGTGATGGAAGAGCAAGAAAATCAGCCTATGAAATTCCAAAAGCCAAAAATGTTCATGTGTTTTGATAGAACTAAAATAAAGAGCAATGACATACTTGGATAAATTCAATTTCTTCTTGAGATACAAGTTTCCTTCTGTATTTCTGAGGTAATGTTTTTATTATTTCTGCAGTGTCTGGTGGACCCTGATGCATCAGCAAATCTGGTGATTTACTTCCCTTAGAATGCTGTGAAATTGAAGAAGAGTGAGATGGTAGTCCTGCTGATCTCAAAACTTCTGATACTGAAAAAAATATATATATATATAATTAGAGAAATAAATTGTTCAGGTATCTTAAAATACTATTTTGAGTTATCTATTATTGAGTAAGCAAGTCATTCTTCAAATGCTAAGTGTAATTCTAACAGGTATTACTGAGTAACTTAGTTGGGTAAAGTTCATTTTAAATAAGGAGGTAGCCTTAAGCGAATGAATTACTAAAACAAGTTTGTAAAATAATAAAATTTCTAGGTAGTGGAGTTCAACCCATATAGATAATCTGCATGACCTAAATTTTGTCAAATGGTGGAATTTATAGTCAAAAATATCCCTATAAGGGGTGCCTGGGTGGTTCAGTCGGTTAAGCAACTGCCTTTGGCTCAGGTCATGATCCCAGCGGCCTGGGATCCCTGCACAGTGGGAAGCATGCTTCTCCTTCTCCCACTCCCCCGCTTGTGCTCTCTCTCTTTCAAATAAATAAAATCTTTGAAATATATATGTAGGGGCGCCTGGGTGGCTCAGTGGTTTAAAGCCTCTTTCAGCTCAGGTCATGATCCCAGAGTCCTGGGATTGAGCCCCGTATCAGGCTCTCTGCTTGGTGGGGAGCCTGCTTCCCTTCCTCTCTCTCTGACTGTTTCTCTGCCTACTTGTGATCTCTGTCAAATAAATAAATAAAAATCTTTTAAAAAAATAAATAAAATATATATGTGTGTATATATATATATATATATATATATAGAGAGAGAGAGAGAGAGAGAGAGAAAGAGATCCTTATAAAACTTGTTAAGATCCTCTCTGAATTGAAGATCAAATATCTTATAATAAAAACAGGGACAAGAATAATGATTATTGAGTAATGTATAGAGTTGTTGAATCACTATATTGGGCACTGTAAATTAACTCTACTAGAATTAAAAAAAAAAACAGGGACAAAGGACTGGGTAAAATGGACAGAAAAGAGGACAACTTGTTCAGAATCTTGAGTTACTTTATAGGCAATGATTGCTCAGGGCTAAGGCAGTCTTCATCTATTGAGTGAATGAGTAAATGAGTGAATGAAAGAAAAGGTCAGCTGGGAGAAAAATATAGGAATGGCTACTGTCTTCACAATCTCTCCAATGTAAGCATGGGATAGTCTTTTCAAGGACAGAAGAAAGGAAAGAACAAAAATTTCCCTATATAAAATCAATATCCTTAAAAATTCAGAGACATGGGGCGCCTGGGTGGCTCAGTGGGTTAAAGCCTCTGCCTTTGGCTCAGGTCATGATCCCAGGGTCCTGGGATCGAGCCCCGCATCAGGCTCTCTGCTCAGCGGGGAGCCTGCTTCCTCCTCTCTCTCTGCCTGTCTCTCTACCTACTTGTGATCTCTGTCAAATGAATAAATAAAAAAATCTTTAAAAAAAAAAAAATTCAGAGACATTTCTGTTGAGTCACCACCTTTTTAAATGGAGGTAATAAGTTAATTTCCACTTGCATAAAACCTAGCAGACCACTGTGATCTAAGCTACAATGGTCTCATGGATTTTTTTTTTTTTTAAAGATTTTATTTATTTATTTGACAGAGAGAGATCACAAGTAGACAGAGAGGCAGGCAGAGAGAGGGAGGGAAGCAGGCTCCCTGCTGAGCAGAGAGCCCGATGTGGGACTCGATCCCAGGACCCTGAGATCACGACCCGAGCCGAAGGCAGCGGCTTAAACCACTGAGCCACCCAGGCGCCCTGGTCTCATGGATTTTTAAATGAGTAGGAATGCCTATTATAGCATATTCATATATAAAAATGCTTGTACATATATATATATTTTAAAAATCTGAAGTATAACTTACCGTTAGGTTTAGGATTGTCTCTTCTGTCAGGGAATCTTATTAATGGAGTATGTGGCTTGACTACCTAAAGGAAAAATTAAAATACATGGAAAAAAAAGATGAAGCACTAAAACTATTAACTATAAAAGAAACCACCTACTGAGCTTCCCAGATAACTTTGTTAAAATAAACTTAGTATTTTTTTTTTTTTCAACAGAAAGGTTGTCTACTTTTTTTTTTTTTTTAAGATTTTATTTATTTATTTGACAGACAGAGATCACAAGTAGGCAGAGAGGCGGGCAGAGAGAGAGGGGGAAGCAGGCTCCCTGCTGAGCAGAGAGCCCAACGTGGGGCTGGATCCCAGGACCCTGAGATCATGACCTGAGCTGAAGGCAGAAGCTTAACCCGCTGAGCCACCCAGGCGCCCCTAAACTTAGTATTTCACAGCAACTTTATTATTTTTTTTAAAAGATTTTATTTATTTATTTGACAGAAATCACAAGTAGGTAGAGAGGCAGACAGAGAGAGAGAAGGAAGCAGGCTCCCTGCTGAGCAGAAAGCCCGACGTGGGGCTTGAACCCAGGACCTGGGATCATGACCTGAGCCGAAGGCAGCAGCTTAACCCACTGAGCCACCCAGGCACCCCGTCACAGCAACTTTAAATCTTACTATTTTACTCTTCCCAAACGAGGAAAGCTGGTCTATAAACTATTAATTTGTTTATCTTATCTGCTCTTCATAGTAACTTTGGACTTTACACTTAACTTATATTTTACTATACTTTATATATTTTATACTTTATATTTATACTTTACTTATATTTTACTATACTACCAACTGACCTCAAAAACAAACCTATGGGGGTGCCTGGGTGGCTCAGCAGGTTAGGGCCTCTGCCTTTGGCTCAGGTCATGATCCCAGGGTCCTGGGATCAAGCCCCGCAGTGGGCTCTCTGCTCAGCAGGAAGCCTGCTTCCTCCTCTCTCTCTCCCTCTCTCTCTCTCTGCCTGCCTCTCCGCCTACTTGTGATCTCTGTCTGTCAAATAAATAAATAAATAAAATCTTTAAAAATGAAATAAAAAACGACAAAAAAAAAAAAAAAAAACAACCCTATGGAGGCACCTGAGTGGCTTAGCTGGTTAAGCAACTGCCTTCAGCCCAGGTCATGATCCCAGAGTCCCGGGATCAAGCACTGCATAGGGCTCCCAGCTCCGCAGGGAGTCTGTTTCTCCCTCTGACCTTCTCCCCTCTCATGCTCTCTCTTACTTGCTCTCTCTCTCAAATAAATAAATAAAATCTTTAAAAAAAAAAACAACAACCCTATGAAAAAGATGACACAGATCTTATGTTGCATGACATGTATTGCCCTGCTGCCTGGTAAGAATTCAAAGTTTCCTGACTTGTATTGAGTTTGTTTTCCTACTATGTCAATATCTAGCAGTGTAAAATAGGGTAAAAAGCATACTAAAAATTAGGTCATTAAGAAAATACTTTTTCTAAAAAAAAAAAAAAAAAAACTTTTTCTGGGATGCCTGGGTGGTTCAGTCGGTTAAGCATCTGCCTTCAGCTCAGGTCATGATCCCAGGGTCCATGAATCCAGTTCCACCTTGGACTCCGTGCTCAGTGGGGAGACTGCTTCTCCCTTTGGCCCCCATTCCCCTGCTTGTGCTCTCGCTCTCTCTCTGACAAATAAATAAAATTTTTAAATGAAAATATTTTTTCTGACTACAAAAGTAACACATGTTCTGTGTAAAAAAATTGGAAGAGGGGCACCTGGGTGGCTCAGTGGGTTAAGCCTCTGCCTTCGGCTCAGGTCATGATCTCAGGGTCCTGGGATCGAGTCCTGCATCGGGCTCTCTGCTCAGCGGAGAACCTGCTTCCTCCTCTATCTCTCTCTCTGCCTGCCTCTCTGCCTACTTGTGATCTCTCTCTCTGTGAAATAAATAAATAAAATCTTAAAAAAAAAAAAAAAGGAAGAAATGGAAAAAAGCACAAATAAGAAAACACTGTCTATAATCCCCAAGCCCACATAAAACAATTTAAACATTTTGTTAGCGCTTTTGGTCTGAGGGCTATACCCACGGTAATATATATTTTTAGAATATTGCTTTTATAACAAATATTTGCAGAGTATTACTGTTTTATCCCTAGAATTCCAGATAATGCTATAGAGAAACCTAAATGGATCTTTCAATATTAAATTTTCTGAATACACAATGCTAAGACTCTAATGAACAGTACTGTTTGCATCTAAAGTAATCTCTGAGTTGCTCTGTAACTAGTGATAGTGAGATATGTTTATCTGCAAAATACTGTATATATGTATTACATACTAGTTTATATGAGTACAGAAGTAAATAGGTTCGTTGGGACCGGCCTGAAACCACCACCATAACTGTGCTGCTGTAAGAAAATGCTAGAATAGAGTTGTCTCCCACAGTATAAGGGCACACACAAGTCTTTCATGCTAAAAAACGAAAGTCTAATGTAACATTGTGTGTCAACTGTACTTAAATAAAAAAAAATTTTTAAAGATTTTATTTATTTATTTGACAGAGATCACAAGCAGGCAGAGAGGCAGGCAGAGGCAGAGAGAGAAGCAGGCCCCCCCGCTGAGCAGAGAGCCAGATGTGGGGCTCTATCCCAGGACCCTGAGATCATGACCCGAGCCAAAGGCAGAGGCTTAACCCACTGAGCCACCCAGGTGCCCCGATTAAATAAAAATTTTTTAAAAACCAATTATCCCTCTAGTGACTATTTTTCCTTTTCATAGCCAAGCTTCTTGAAATAATGTTTTATCCATCCATTTTCAATACCCCATTTATAAGTTTTAAACATGTTCAACAGCTTTCAAGATAAACTTCAAACTCACATTTGTCATTCACAGGCCCATCCTGATCTGGCATCTGCTTACCTCTCAAGCCTCAATCTCCACCACTGCCTTATATACATTTTTTTAAAAGATTTTATTTATTTATTTATTTGACAGAGAGAGAGAGATCACAAGCAGGCGGGGGTGGGGGGAGCAGACTCCCTGCTGAGCAGAGAGCCTGATGTGGGGCTCGATCCCAGGATCCTGAGATCATGACCTGAGCCAAAGGCAGAGGCTTAACCCACTGAGCCACCCAGGCGCCCCTGCCTTATATACCTTTTATTCCAGGTATTCTGAAGTACTTTTCTGTTCCCTATTGATCATGCCATTTCATACCATTCAATCTACAGCTTGTGTTCCATGCCAGGAAATCTATCCTCAGTCCTGTCCTGCTTCCATGCTCCTGCTTTCATCTGTTTATTAATTTTTTTAAAGTTTTAAGATTTTATTGATCTATTTGAGAGAGAGCAAAGGGGAGTGAAAGAGAGAGAGCCTGAACAAGGGGATGAGGAGAGGGAGGAGAAGCAGACTCCTGGCTGAGAAGGACACCTGACACAGGGCTCGATCCCAAGACCCTGGTATCATGACCTGAGCTGAAGGCAAACACCTAACAGACTGAGCCACCCAGGTGTCCCTCATCTGTTGATCTGTTAAAACAGTCAAATATCACTTCCCTCTAAAAAGCTTTCCTGATTTTAAAGTGTGATTTTAAAACTCCTCCTCTGGGTTTCCATGGCATCTGTGCCAGTATATCTGTGGGATAGATTCCTAGGAAAGAGACTGCTGAGTCAAAAGAGAAAAAAAACAATCCTGAGAGGTATTGGTAGATCTTCTTTCACAGAGTTTATACTGTTTTATATTCCCATATTGGATCCTAGAGTGACCAATGAGTGCCCGCTTACACACAGCCTTCACAACAGACTTGTGTTATCTGACTTGTACATTTTTAATCAAATCTCAGTGAGGAAAAATGTTATCTCCATGTAGTTTTCATTTTCAGCTATCTTACCATAAGTAAGGCTGTTCATCTTTTCATATGGTTAAGAGCATTTTCATTTCTTTACCTGTGAAGATTGTATTCATAGCTCTTGCCTACTTTTCTATGCTTGTAAGTTCTTTATATAGTATGCTTATAAACTCTCTTTCTGTTGCAAATTTTTACCTAGTTTTTTTTTTTTAGTTGAATGGTTTTTATTTTTTTGGATGAGTAAATGTTTTTTTTTTTTTTCTTTCCAGTACAGCCCACATTATCAGTCTTTTCTCCTTAATACATCTTGATTTTTTTTTAAAGATTTTATATAGGGGCGCCTGGGTGTCTCAGTTGGTTAAAGCCTCTGCCTCCGGCTCAGGTCATGATCCCAGAGTCCTGGGATCGAGCCCCCCATCGGGCTCTCTGCTCAGCAGGGAGCCTGCTTCCCCCGCACCCCCCGCCTGCCTCTATGCCTAATTGTGATGTGTCTGTCAAATAAATAAGATCTTTAAAAAAAAAAAAAGATTTTATTTATTTATCTGACAGAGACACAGGCAGAGGAAACACAGGCAGGGGGAGTGGGAGAGGGAGAAGCAGGCTCTCCGCTGAGCAGGGAGGCTGATGCGGGGCTCCATCCCAGGACTCTGGGATCATGACCTGAGCTGAAGGTAGATGCTTAACGACTGAGTTACCCAGTCCCCTGTATCTTGATTTTAAAGCATAGTTGGGTAAGTTTTCACTGTTCCAGTTATAAAGAAAGTCTTGTTTTCATTTGGTATTGCATGGTATTGTTTCTTTTAATTTTCAATTCTGAAATAATTAACGGAATCATAGGAAGCTGCAAAAAATGTACAAGGAAATTCCTGGTAACTTCATTCAGTTTCTACTACAGTAATATCTTACATAACTATAGCACAATATCAAAACCAGGAAACTGACACTGGTACAGTCCATACAGCTTATTTAAGATTTGGTCAGTTTTATATGTACTCATTTGTGCATGTATAATTCTTTGCAATTTTGGCTTCATTTTTTACATTAAGATATCAGATCCCTTTGCAATTTATCACTTCCTCCCCAACTAACCCCTGGCAACCACTGATCTTTTTACTGTCTTCAGTTTTCTTTTCCAGAAGGTCACATATTTGGAATCATAAAGTAGTCTTTCAGTTTGGTTTCTTTCACTCAGTAACACGCATATAAGTTTCCTCCATGTCTTTCCATGGCTTGATAGCAAATTCCTTTTTAGTGTTGGATAATATTCCATTGCCTGGATGTATCACAGTTTATGTATCCATTCACCTACTACTAAAGGATATCTTGGTTGCTTCTAAATTTTGACAATTATGAATAAAGCTACTATAAATATCCATGTGCAGGTTTCTATGTAGATGTAAGTTTTCAACTCATTTGGGTAAACAGCAAAGTGCAATTGTTTGATCATATAGTTAAAGTATATCAAGTTTTTAAAGAAACTGCCAAACTGCCTTCCAAAGGGGTCGTACCATATTACATTCTCAGCAGGAGCGAATGAGTGCCTAGTGCTCCACATCTTTGCCAGCATTTGGTAGTATCCACATTCTTCTGGATTTCGGCCATTCTAACAGGTATGAAGTGATATTTCTTTGCTGTTTTAATTTGCAAATCCATGATGACATGTGATGTTGAGCACCTTTACATATGCCTGTGATCTGTCTTTGATGAGGAGTCTGTTCAGGGCTTTTGGCCATTTTGTTGTTGTTGTTGTTTTTCAAGTGGGCCCCACAGCCCAGCACAGGGCTCAAACCCAAACTCAGGACCCTGTCAAGACCTGAGCTAAAATCAAGAGCCAGACATTTAATGGAATGAGCCACCTAGGCACCCCACCCATTTTTAAATCAGGTTGTTTTCTTGTGTTAAGTTTTAAGAGTTGTGTTTTTTTAAGATTTTATTTATTTATTTGACAGAGAGAGAAATCACAAGTAGACAGAGAGGCAGGCAGAGAGAGGGAGAAGCAGGCTCCCCGATGAGCAGAGAGCCCGATGCGGGGCTTGATCCCAGGACCCTGAGATCATGACCTGAGCTGAAGGCAGAGGCTTAACCCACTGAGCCACCCAGGTGCCCTGTTATTTTCTAGTTTTATAGTTTACATTTTACATACAATTCTACGACCCATTTTGAGTCAATTTTTGTGAAGAGTATAAAGTCTGTGTCTAGATTCATTTTTTCCAAGTGAATATCCAGTTGTTCCACAACATTTATTGAAAAGACTATCTTTTCTCCATCTATTGTGTTTGCTCCTTTATCACAGTTCAGTTAAATAGCTTTTAATTTTTAATTTTTACCTTTCTAAGTCTCTTAGTTTGAGGTATGCCTCATATATAGCATAGCATTGGATAGGTATTTGCTAGCCAAGTTGAGAGTAATTTTTTTTTAATAGTTTTTTAAGATTTTATTTATTTATTTGACAGAGAGAGATCACAAGTAGGCAGAGAGGCAGGCAGAGAGAGAGAGAGAGAGAGAGAGAGGGGAAGGGAAGCAGGCTCCCTGCCGAGCAGAGAGCCCAACGTGGGGCTCGATCCCAGGACCCCGGAATCATGACCTGAGCTGAAGGCAGAGGCTTTAACCCACTGAGCCACCTAGGCGCCCCTGAGAGTAATTTTCTAAAGGGGATTTAGACGGGGCCTCTGCTTGGCGGGGAGCCTGCTTCCCTCCCTCTCTCTGCCTGCCTCTCTGCCTACTTGTGATCTCTCTCTGTCAAATAAATAAATAAATTAATTAAAAAAAAAAAGCTTAAAAAAAAATAAAGGGGATTTAGATCATTTACATTTACAGATATAACTCACAAGTTTGGTATATTTTGTCGTATCATTTTATGATTATTTAAGTATAAATTCCTTTGTCATATCATCTTTTTCTTTGCTTTCATTTGTGGGATTTTTTTAAATTTGGAAACAATTATAAATTATGCTTTTGTGCATTTATATCTACATTACTACCTTTACATAATACCCTTAATGGCCACCTTCTGAGATACTACCCATTGGTTCATTACTATGAGAAAGAATGAAAGCAGGTGATAGTGATCTCTTCTCTGTTTTCCTTCCCCATCTTTTACTACCAGTTAATAGCCAGGGGCAAGTGTATTCCAGCTTTTGTATACTCTCCCCCTTATTCCTCCATTTTAAAAGTTGAATTAGAGCTATACTGTCAGAACAATAGTATTACCAACAAGTCTTTCACTGTATCTCCATTATTTAGTCTTGTTCTTACAGTCACATAATTCAATGTTCATATTCATTTCCTATGTTGAAACAACTCTGAGTACAACTAAGTATTCATCGGTTGTCTTTCATCCTCTGGGAGATCTAGTAGGAAGGGTTGCAGGGAACAATATTCTCTGAGTTAGTGAAGGTGTAGAAGGGTTTGTAGCCTTTAGAACTTGAAGGTCAGTGCAGCTAGATACATCTCTGGTTAATATTTTCCGTCCTTAACTATCTTACATATGTTATCCGCATGTCCTCCTTTATGAACTATTATTGTTGTAAACTCTGATAACTTTCATTCTCTTTTAAGTGCTTGGTCTTGTAGCCTGGAACACCCAAACTTTTTCTTTTTCTCCTTTAAAATCTAAAGATTCCAGGGGCCCCTGGGTGGCTTAGTCAGTGGGGCATCCAACTCTTGGTTTCAGCTCAAGTCATGACCTCAGGGTCCTGAGATCCAGCCCTGTGTGCATCAGGCTCTTGGCTTGGTGGTAAGTCAACTTGTCTCCCTCTCTCTGCCTTCCCACCCCCACCCCCATGTGAGTGCTTACACACATGTGCTCCCTCTCTCTCAAATACATAAATCTTAAAAAACAAAACAAAACCAAACCTCAAGATTCTACTAGAATATACCCGTTAGTCAACTACAGTTGGTTAATTTTCTCAAGCCTAAAGTATGGTTTTAAGTCTTCTTTTATATCAGCCAAGTTTTATTAAGTTATACGTTTTGAGACTTGTTCTATTTGCTTTTACTTTTTCAGAGACTACTTATTATGCAAAAGTTGCATCTTCCTGTTTTTATCTACTTCTGTGACTTCCTTTGAATCGGTCTAATCTTTTCCTTTTTCTGTGATTTTTTTTTTCCTTTTCCTCTTTTCATGCACTATTTCCTTTAACAAAACTTCTGAGTTGCCTATTTACTTTTATATTCCTTCTACTTTAGTATTTACTTCTGGAAAGTTCTTTTAATTCTTCACTGAGTTCAGAGCTGTATTGTCCCTAAAATCTTAACCTAAAATCTAACCTCAACCGCAACCTTTTAGTGTATAACTCTTCTCTGTTACTTCCCACTGTAAGCATCACCAAACCCTTCATTTCCTTGATTGTTCCTTTTTCCGGTCAACTGGTTCCACCATGACTTTACCTCCTTTCTTATCTAGCCTAGGACCCAGGGACCATTCAATATTCTATTACCAGCACTCTCAACCTCCTTCCTGGAGGTGTATCTTCACCTCACTTGTAAATCTCAAACCCTGAATTAATCCAACTACCCTTCTTCCCATGTCTCATGCAGCCAAAATGATTTTGTAAATGATAAATTATCACCTTTTTGCTTACATTAGTCCAAATATATCCAATATATATATGCTTGCCATTCCGTCATATTTATATGTCTTCTTGTAGAGATATTTAGTCATTTCTCTTAGGTATAAACCTAGGAGTAAAATTACTAGGTTACAGGGTAGGTATGTTTAATTACTAGAGACTGACAAAACAGATTTCCAAAGTGGCCATATGAATTATAATCCTACCAGCAACAATGAGGGTTTCTGGTGCCTCACAATGTCATCTCTTGGTATTGGCAGTTCTTAAAATTTTAATAACTTTAGTAGATGCAGTGGCACTTCCTGGCTTTAATTTGTATTCTCCTGGCAAGAATTAAGTAGAACATCTTTTCCCATGCTTATTGCTCATTTTTATATCTTCTTTTGTGCAGTTTCAACTTTTCAACCCATTTATAAATTGAGCTATATATTATGGATATGTATGGTTATATATTATGGGTACCAGTCCTTTGTTAGAGGTTCTCCTTGTCCTCACAGAATCTTTAATTAGTTAATGCTCAGCATCTACCTACTGAATAAGTGAGGATCATTCCTTGCAATGGGGCCGAAGGCTGGGATCTAGGATTATCTTTCAAACCGAAACAAAGAAACAGGCTGTGTAAAACCACCAAAAATGTGCAGGTTGTGTCCCTTTATATATTAACTTTACCTCTCCTATTTAATTTAGCCATCACTGCTGGAGAAGCAAATACAAAAGCTATCAGGGGTTGGTAATTGATGTGTAGATTAACAAAGTTCCTCTAAGCTACCAATCTAAACTCAAGGGGATAAAAGCTTGACAACAAAAGGCTTGGGAAAGGACCAACCATACATGTTTTAATGCATGTAAAACATTACAGATAAACTTAAATAATATCTTTCCCCCTTTCAATTCCCCCACCCAGCCAGTAACTAGATGCTGGTATTGGTGGGGGAGGACAGGCCCGGGGTGAGTTCGCAGCTCACAGGCCAGTTCTCAGGCTATTCCCAAGACCTTGAAGGGACACCGGGTCAGATACAAGGTTCGCTTCCTTCCACTCGCCGTTACCGCCTTCCTTACGATTGGCTCATCCGGGACATCACAGACCATGCTAAACGTCGATTGGCCAAACTACTGCCAGGGCAGCCTAGCCCGCCGACTCCTAAGAGGGCTACGGAGGTCCTGGCAGAGTATGGTCCGGGGACGGCGCAGCTGTTCTGCGCCTACCTACTGATACACTGCAGTCCTGCAGCATGGCTTGAAGCCTCAGCTATAGTCCCGGCTCACTGCCCGACCCAGTTGGCTCAAGGTCCAATTCTCACACATACCCCCCCCGGGCCGCGTCGCTGGCGCTACCCAAGGCCGCGGTGACCGCCCAGCCTCCGCCACCGCCTTGTCTCCCCAGCGCCTTTACTATAATCAGCAGTGTCCCTACCACCCACGGTGCGAAAAAGCGACAAAATTTACTTACCTGAACGACCCTGCTGGCAGACGCCATCTTGCTGCCCATCATGACCCCGGGATGGGGCAGCTTCCGGGGCAGTAGCTAGGCGCAGATATAACAGGAGTCCAGGGCAGCTGGGGGCGGGCCCTGCCTGTGGCGTCATGGAGGAGGGACGAGCCGGCAATCCCGTGGGATCGTCCTCCACCGCGGAGCTAACCCACCCTCTGCGCCTGACCCCGCCCCGCCCCGCCCCGCCCCGCCCCGCCCCGCTTTCAGTCTAGGAATTGCCCCACGTGCTTCCCATTGTTCAGTTTTGCAGACGAAGGTCTGTGGTGTTCCGTGTGTTTTGCACATCAGCCAATGAGTAAATTAGGGCCATTTCCTTCTCCAGGTAGCCAGATTCTAATTCTAATTTAATAAAATTTAACCTGAAACCAAATACAAAGTCACGTGGCTTCCTAAAATAAACAATCTTGTTAAAACTTGGGAGTTAGGGGTACCTGGGTGGCTCAGTTGGTTAAGCAATTGCCTTCCGCTGGGGTAATGATCAGGAAGTCCCAGAATGGAGTCCCGCATTGTGCTCCCCACTCAGCTGGGAGTTTTCTTCTCTGCCTCAGGCTCGCTCTCTCCCCTGCTTTTGCTCTGTCAAATAAATAAATAAAATCTTTAAAAAACTTTTTTTAAAACTTGAAACTAGAAAAAAAAATTGAAACATTTAATAAAGCACATCTAACTTCTAATTAATAAAGTAGATGTGAAACAAGCTATATAAACTACTAGGAAGCAATGAGACAAATCATAACAGAAAAGTTTCTACAGATCAACTGGTTTAAGTCAGTGACTGTAAGAAAAATAGGGTGCCAGTGCATATAACCTCTCACTCAGTTCAACTTAAATATGCTAGTGTAGAGGGAAAGCAGCCTTGGTTAATACGTAATAAATCTATGGGCATTCTTTGTTCCAATAAAACTTTATTTACAGAACAAGCCAGCTGGTAAGCCAGTTTGCTGACCTCTGATATAAATGAAACAACCAACCAAAGCAAATGTGATCACCAACAACCACAATTAAAATATATACTAACAAAAGCACCACAGCCCAGAATTTAAGACCGACTGAGATGTAAAACACTTGTGTCCCCAATTGAAAAAGCCGCTGAGCTCTCAAATGCCCTCTTCAGATATGGCCAAGGTTAGTCATGGAAAGGGAGAACTTACCAAAGGGCAGAGTCAGAAACCACAGAAGAACCTCTTCCAGTGAGCAGCACAAGTGCCTAAACAAAATGTATTTCCTCTCCCTAGGAAGGAGCACCTCCTATCATTTACCAAACAGTATTTCAGAATTGCTAACATTGTCCACTACTGTATGCTGGCTATGTGAAGCAACAGAATTTATCTTTTCAGTTCATTAATCTCCAGGTCAGGAAGAGCCTTTTTTTTTTTTTTATAGGATTTTATTTATTTATTTGACAGACAGAGATCACAAGTAGGCAGAGAGGCAGGCAGAGAGAGAGGAGTAAGCAGGCTCCCTGCTGAGCAGAGAGCCTGATACGGGACTGGATCCCAGGACCCTGGGATCATGACCTGAGCTGAAGGCAGGGGCTTTAACCCACTGAGCCACCCAGGCGCCCCAGATCAGGAAGAGCCATTATTTGGACCTGATGTGAAAGAGTATCATGAGATCCTGAACTTTGAAACTGTTATGATTAGATGACACTCTTGTTACTCTCCTTGGCGAAGGAGGTGTCTTTTATGTGTAAAAAGGAAGTTAATATTTAAGACCAAGACTGTATACTGTAGTGGACTGTATTCTTTTCAAATGCCCATTTTCTTTCCCCCATTCTGAAACCCAGCACTCCCCTACTGTGGAAGTATACTTTTCTGTCACAGTAATGTTTGGCTTGGTGAACAGAGCCGTGGTAAAATAATGTATACCTCTTCCAAGCAGACACTTTAAATGTGCTTGTGTAATTTGACTTTGCCACATTAACTATGAGAACGTTTTAGACAGTGGATGCTCCTCAGGTCCTCCAATGATCAGCCAAACTATGGATCCAAGAGAGATATAAATGTTTGTTAAAAGCCAGGGAATTGTTCAGCACTTGAGGAAAAACTGACTAATGAAATTTCTGTCTCAGGTTTGGGCTTTAGAAGGGAATACAAAGGATAAGAAAATCCCAGGAAAATGCAAAAAGATTTTTAGATGATGCTGAATCTTTACATCAGGAAGGTATTTTCCAGAATAATGCTTTTCTGTAAGAAGAATGTAACTTTTTTTTTAAAGATTTTAATTATTTACTTGACAGAGAAAAATCACAAGTAGGCAGAGGGCAGGTCGAGAGAGAGAGAAGGAGGCTCCCCCCTGAGAGCCCCATGCGGGGCCCGATCCCAGGACCCCGAGACCATGACCTGAGCCAAAGGCAGAGGCTTTAACTCACTGAGCCACCCAGGCGCCCCAAGAAAAATGTAACTTATTGGGGTGGCCTGAGTAGGTCAGTTGGTTGAACTTCCAGCTTAAAAAAATGTTGAAGGGTGTCTGGGTGGCTCAGTCAGTTAAGCTTGGGTTATGATCTCAGGGTCCTTGTCCTTCTGCCCCTGCCCCCACTCATTTGCTCTCAAATAAATCAAAAAAATCTTTTATTTATTTTTTTTTAAAGATTATTTTTTTATTTGACAGACAGAGAACAAAAGTAGGCAGGCAGGCAGAGAGAGAAGGGGAAGCAGGCTCCCTGCTGAGCAGAGAGCCCGATGCGGGACTCGATCCCAGGACCCTGGGATCATGACCTGAGCCGAAGGCAGAGGCTTTAATCCACTGAGCCACCCAGGCGCCCCTCAAAAAAATCTTTTAAAAAAGAAAAAGAATGTTGAAAATACTACATTGTCCATAAAAGTGATCAACAGCTCCAAACTCAATTTATTTCAATATTCAATTATTTGAATAAGGAATTCAAATTAGAGCTTGCTCTAAAAAGGGATGGGATACTATAAAAGATAGCAAGTTTTTTTTTTTTTAAGATTTTATTTATTTGACACAGAGAGAGAGATCACAAGTAGGCAGAAAGGCAGGCAGAGAGAGAGGGGGAAGCAGGTTCCCTGCTGAACAGAGAGCCCAATGCAGGGCTCTATCCCAGGACCCCGAGATCATGACCGGAGCCGAAGGCAGAGGCTTAAACCACCGAGCCACCCAGGTGCTCCAAGTTTTTTTTTTTTTTTTAAGTTTATATATTTTTAGTACTCTATAAACCCAACATGGGGCTTGTACTCACAAGCCCCAGATTGAGAGTCACATGCTCTACCAACTGAGCCAGCCAGGTGCCTGAGCAAGTTCTATTTTTTTTTTTTTAAGATTTTATTTATTTTTTTAAAAAAGATTTTATTTATTTATTTGACAGATAGAGATCACAAGTAGGCAGAGAGGCAGACAGAGAGAGAGGAGGAAGCAGGCTCCCCGCTGAGCAGAGAGCCCTATGTGGGGCTCAATCCCAGGACCCTGGGATCATGACCTGAGCCGAAGGCAGAGGCTTTAACACACTGAGCCACCCAGGCGTCCCAAGTTCTATTTTTTTTTTTTTTTAAGATTTTATTTGTTTATTTGCCAGAGAGAGAGAGAGAGAGTGAGTGAGCACAGGCAGGCCAAGTGGCAGCAGAGGCAGAGGGAGAAGCAGGCTCCCCACCAACTGAAGTTGAACTGAAGTTGGGGACAGTATTCTTTTCATTAGTGGGATTCACTAAATTATCAAATGATTGCTAATTATCTTAACACTAAAATTGACTCATCATAGGGGTGCCTGGGTGGCTCAGTGGGTTAAAGCCTCTGCCTTCGGCTCAGGTCATGATCCCAGGGTCCTGGGATAGGGCCCCACATTGGGCTCTCCACTCAGCAGGGAGCCTGCTTCCTCCTTTCTCTCTGCCTGCCTCTCTAACACTTGTGATCTCTGTCTGTCAAATAAATAAATAAAATCTTTAAAAATTAAAAAAAAAAGAAGAATACCTTATTGTACATTTCAAAGTCGCTAAGATCTTAAATCTTCTTACCACAAAAAAGAAATAATTATGTGACCCGATGGAGATGTGAGCTAATGCCATGGTGGTCAAATCAACCCATTGTATACCTTCAACTTATACCATGCTATATCATTTACAATGCTATATATATCAGTACAACTGATAGTTGAAAAAACATCAAGATATGGATATCTCTTTCTCATTTTTCAAATATTTTAGTTGACTGACAAATGCACAAAAGTATTCCAAATAATGGGGGGTGGAGGGATGGGTTAAATGGATGATGAGTATTAAGGAGGACACTTGTTATGATTAGCACTGAGGTGTCAAATATAAGTGATGAATCACTAAATTCTATTCCTGAAACTAATATTACACTGTATGTTAACTAACTGGAATTTAAATAAAAACTTTAAACTACAAAGAATAAAAAAAGGAAGGGAGAAAAGAAGAGAACAAAAGAAAAAGAAAAAAAAATGAGTTGGGACCGCCAGGAATGTTATAAAAAAAATGTCCACATTCAGTGGAAAGCTTAATTAGATGTCTTTTGGGACCCTTGCCAGGCTATGACTTTCAGATTCTTTTAGAGAATGCCAGTCACTTTAATTAATATATTTGAAAGAACAAATTCCATGTTATAGTATTAAGCTACAAAAGTTTGCAATATCAGTTCCGAGAATACTAACTAAAAATTTTACTTGAAATTTGCTATTTAAATGACATATCAAGATTAAAGCAAAAAATGACAAAACAGAATTCTTATTAGATCATGGTGAGATTCTTCTCAAGCTGTAGAACAATTTCCTTAAAAGCAGGATCCTCTGCCCAATTGGCTTTACTTCCTAAAATAAGGTTCTGTAATAAAAAAGAAAAAAACTTATATTAAAGTTATAAGTACGATTACAAATTTAACAAGATTTTTAAAAATTCTTACATTAATTTTTTAAAAAAGGATTTTATTTATTTTTTTGAGAGAGAAAGGGAGAGACCACAAGTAGGAGGGAGGAACAGAGGGAGAGGGAGAAGCAGGTTCCCTGCTGAGCAGGGAGTCCTATGTGGGGTGGGCTCAATACCAGGACCCTGGGATCAGGACCTGAGCTGAAGGCAGACATTTAACCATCTGAACCACCCAGGCGCCCCCCCTTCACTAATCTTATCAAATATTTACCAATAAGGTATGGGCATCTACTCTATAAAAAATATATTCTTGGG